AAACAACTACAGGCAAGAATTGAAACCTTGGAAACTACCAATGCTGCTTTACTACGCTTTTTCCAAGAGGAAGCTCAAAATGCTCACCAACATACAAATGTCTTGAATATGCTTTGTCAAAATTTTTAAAGAATCCTGGGCAGAATCATAAATAACCTGTCAACTCAGACCAAGACCTGATACCTAGACCTGTAAATATTATTACCCTTGAATATGAAAAATATACCCTGTCAACCCAGACCTCGTTGAATATCAGACCATTTAATAAAGAACAAGGTCTAGCTTTCCGAAAATTATTAGAAGAATTTGCAGACCTCTTTGCAACTAATATAACTGAGCTAGGATGAACTAACCTCGTTACTCACCGAATCTATACTGAGAATGTACACCCTATTCACTCTTGCCCTTATTCTGTACCTCCTGATGAGCAAGAATTTATACAGAAAGAAGTACAGAGGATGTTAGAACACAAACTTATTCAACCTTCTAATAGCCCTTGGACCTCGCCTGTAGTGTTAGTATGGAAGAAAAATGGCAAATTACGATTCTGTATAGACTACAGAAAAGTGAATGCTATCACTAAAAAGGATGCTTACCCTCTACCTTGCATTGATGAAATGCTTAATGCCCTTACAGGATGCTCTTGGTTCTCTACTCTTGATCTTGCGAGTGGTTATTAGCAAGTTGCCATGGACCCTTGTGACAAAGAAAAAACTGCTTTTACTATGTGATATGAAATTTATAAATTTAATGTAATGCCTTTTGGTTTTTGCAATGCTTCTGCAACCTTCCAAAGACTCATAGACCATGTATATAGAGGAATTGCATGGAAGTTTGTTGTTGTATACTTAGATGATACAATTGTTTATTCTAGAACATTTGATAAACACTTGATCCATTTAAAAAGAGTATTTAATAGAATTAAACAAGTGGTACTCAGGCTTAATATAGAAAAGTGTACCTTTTGAATGCACCAATTACCTTTTTTAGAACATCTTATCTCAGCTAAGGGTATCGCCTCTGACCCACAAAAAGTAGAAGCTGTCCAACAGATCCAACCTCCTAAAAACCTTACAGCCCTTCAATCTTTCCTTGGACTTGCCAGATACTATCGCCAGTTTATCCAAAACTTTTCATCAATTGCTCACCCTTTGAATTCCCTGCTACACAAAGATGAACCCTATCACTGGCAAGATAAATAGCAAAAAGCTTTTGAAGAATTAAAATCCAGACTTATTACTGCCCCTATATTAGTTTACCCAAATTTTAAAGAGATATTTATACTCACCACTGATGCCTCCTACAATGGTTTTGGTGTCATGTTAAGTTAACTAGATAAAAATGAGAAAGAACACCCAATTGCCTATGCTAGTAAAAGTTTAAGAAAGGAAGAAATAAATTATGCGGCCACTGAACTCGAATGTACTACAGTTTTATGGGCTATAGAACATTTTCATAAATATTTAGATGCTACAAAATTCATTTTAGTTACAGACCACTCAGCATTAAAGTAGTTACATACTGCTGAACCAAAGAGAAGAATTGGAAGATGGATCTTGAAGCTCCAACCATACAATTTTGGAATTGTCTATAAACTGGGCTGAATTCATTCAAATATTGATACCCTATTATGATTACTGATGCAGACAACTATATCTAATAAACCTTATGAATCTTGATTGATATTATAACCTCTACCACTATTTGGATACAGGCCAATTTCCAGATAGACTTACTGACCCAGAACAGAAACGACTTATGACCCAGGCTAAATATTTTGAAATTAAACATCACCTTCTCTATAAAAAAATAAAGCATAAGCATCTGACTGCTGAACATTTGAGAACGGACGCTATGTATTATAAATTGTCAGAACGTTACTATTGGGACCAAATATATTGAGACATACAAGAATATGTGAAGACTTGTGAGGAATGTTAACAAAGACAAAAAGACTACAGAAAAGAGCTTCTACATCCCATACAAATTGGAAAAGCTTTCAAACGTGTTGGAATTGATCTTGTAGGCCCTTTGCCTATAACTAAACAAAATAATCGATATATTATAGTCGCTATTGAATACCTAACATAGTGGCCAGAAGTTCGTGCTATTCCAGATGCTAGTGCTGGTACACTTGCTTAGTTTATTTTTGAAGAAATAGTCTGTAGACATGGAACTTCAAAAATTATCTTATCAGATCAAGATCGCAATTTTATTAGTGAAATGGTTAGAATTCTCTGTGAAAAATTTCTTATCAAGCATAAATTCTCTTCTCCTTACCATCCTCAGACAAATGGTATGGTAGAAAGATTCAATAGAACATTGTATGAATTACTTGCAAAAGTGAAAGGAGACGATGATTGGGATTTGTATATTCCTGCTATTCTCTTAGCATATAGAATGAAAAGACATGCTACCACATGATATACCCCTTTCAACTTATATATAGAAGATATGCTACCTTGCCAATCGAATTTCTTTTTCTAGTAGAACCTACAGAAGTAAATGATGAAATAGACTTACAAGAAGTATTCTTCAATGGGCTTATGAGTTGATAGATAAATTACTGACTTATTAGAACCAGACAAAACAAAATACTGAACAGTCATAGCGAAGACAAAAAGTCTACTTTGATGCCAATATTTGACCAGAAACATTGAAATTGTTAATAAAGTATGGATACAAAGAAAGGAATTAGAAGCCTCTCACTCAGCCAAATTTGAAGACAAAAGATTTGAACCCTTCCTTATCTATGAGAAGTTAGACAATGGTGCTTATATATTACAAACAATAGAAGGAAAAATTTTGCAAAAATATTATAATAGTGATCATCTTGCTAAGTATTATGAGCCACAAGCATGGGAACTAGTAGTTGTTATTGATTTTTCTAAAAATTTCTAGAAGAAATTTGATCTACAAGAGGATAGGACACACAATTTATTTCGTAAAACCTTAAAATATATTTATACAACTACCTTTTTTGGAATTTTTTCCAAAAATGATCACTCCTACGCTGCAACCTCAAATCTTGTTAGCCCTTCAATACCTTTTTCAGATATGGAAACAAGATAATGCTGCCCAAAATAATACATTGTGGATTATATCACTATGTATATGGTTATGTGATAATAATGATACCACTCAAACTATTGACCTCACTAATTTAATTACTTCTTTTCTTGAGCCAGACTCAAATACTTTTCTGAATACTCTAGAAGACACAGAACAATTAGAAATTAATTTACCAGAAGTAAATGACACATAAGAAATAAGCCCAAACTTAGAATTAGAAGACATACAAGAAGAAACCTTATCGATTCCAATTATTAATCAAGAAGAAGTCACACCTGTTCTATTGCCTAAGAAATTAAGCAGGATTATACAAGATATTATCCAACCTTGTGGACCTTTAACTCAGACATCTACTCCTCCGTATACTGGAATAACGTATCAAGAGACATTGCAGAAAATTCTCAAATGAATTAAAACTCGAACTTGAAACAGACAAGACCAAACCAAGCTGCTCAAAGCTTATTATCATCTTGGTGATCTTATAGAAAAGTACCCTGATACTCACAAAGATATTCGATCTACCATTAGAAAGACTCAAGGAGAAAGAAGAGCCCGAGACACATAGAAGTGTGCCCAATAGATGAAACTACTTTTCTCTAACCAACCTATAGAAAACATTTCTCGAATGACCTATACTACTCATACAATGATTACAAAGTTAATAGATAATGAACTTTCTCAAGTTCTTCCCTGAATTAGGACTTACAGAGTTCGTTTTTAAAGGGGAGAGAAATGTTATAGAATAGGTTTTAGTTAATTTTGGTAGAAATTAGTTAAGAAATTAAAACTTAATAAGGAAATTTTGTAATAGCTGCATTTAGTAATAGTAATATGTGGAATTGATGTGCAATGACACTCAATGATGCTTAATGACGCTTAACGATACTTAGCGATGCTTAATGATGCTTAGTGATGCTTAATAGTGCTTATTGATACTTAACGACGCTTAGTGACGCTTAGCTATGCTTAGTGACGCTTAACGACACTTAGCAACGCTTAGCTTAATAGATATATAAACCCATCATCTTTCACTTAGTTTTAGACAGATCCAGATATTGTATTTTATCTTTATCTTCATATTAATTACCTCCTCTATACTTATTGTCGGGGATGATGCTGAAATCAGATGATGCTAAAATTTAGGGGCCTTAATTTGAAAATATAAATCCTACTAAAATCCACCTATACTCTTT